TTTGAAATAACCCAAGATATATGAGGTTGTGGATGAGGTTTACAGAATAGAGAATAATGCCCCTACCGCCCAAAAAAGAGAAGGTGGGCAAAAAATAGAGAACAAAGGGGTGCTTTAAAAAAAATGTTTAAAACTTTGGAAAAAGGTAAAAAAAAAAAAAGTGATTACAGAATTAAATGATTAACAGTATAAGTAAACTTTTTCTGCATACCGAATTTATTATTGATATGGAATGAAATGTTGAACTGGTCGTAATCAGAACTGGTTGATTGATGTTACCATGCAAATTATGTACATTCGATATTTTCCTCGAAAATCACGATCTTGCACGAGTTGACAAATCTTGACGTACTATTTCGTCCACTATTGCAGACAAAGATAATCTTACATTCTTCTCCTGCATTGTGTCCGTTTTTTTTCTGAAAATTTCCGTTATTGATTTCCCGACTTTCACTGCATCATCATAATGATACAACTACTGAACATATAGTTCATTGAACCGAGTATAATACTGATGCTTTTACTGAACATAATGAATAATCTACCGAATATAAAGAAACCGGTACCACTGAAGGTAATACATAATGTACTGCAAATAATATTGAATCTACTGAACATAATGTCGATGATACTGAACATAATGAAAAATGCACTGAATATAACGTAAGAAGTACTGAACATAATTTAAATACCACTGCATATAATAATGAAACTACTGAACATAATAACCAAAGCACCGAACATAATAACCAAAGCACCGAACATAATGTCAAAACTACTGAACATAATGTCAAAACTACTGAATATAATATGAAAACTACTGAACAAAATATAAATACTACTGAACATAATGCATAAAGCACCGAACATATTAAACAATCAACATCAGAAGACAGTCATGGCGTTCCATAAACATGCATGTATACTTGTCACCAAACGAAAAGCAGCCATGAATCAATCCTTCTCTTAAACATAATTACTAAAGGATCATTGGGTCTTAAGGTTTTTTTTTATAAATTTCACAAAGGGTCTAATTCAAATCCCGGCTTCCATTTGGCGACATACTGAACAATCAACTTAAAGGTACATATAGCAACCCTCTCTAATATATTAAACTAATTCCAAATACGAGACCGTTCAAAGGAAAACTAGAACCAAAACTCTCAATTTTATGATGTCATTTGCTTCTGTGATTCAGGAAGGAGAAATATTTTAAACGTATAGAGCTGATTGTGAACCTTAAACTAGTGTTTTACTTAATTTTGCAGGTTAACATTCAGTGTTTATATTAACCTTAAAGTTTACAATACAAAATTGCTGAAAATAATTAAAGTTATAAACAGTAATGTTGCATGGAACTAAATTAGATAAATCCGAATGAAATGACAAGTTTTAGCTGGAATGAAGATTTTTCTACCTCTTTTTTCTTTCTTTATAATATTCATTATAATTTCCGAGAGACTAAAGATAAACGCAACATACAGAATTTTACTCGTTTTCGTTGTGATTCGTACCAACAGAGTTTCATCTTTCGGTATTGACTATCATTAAGTCTTAAACTGTCTAAATCATGTCTTCTCTACTGTTAAATTTATTCCATCCCAGTAAGTCTTTTTTCTACTCATGACAACTAAATAACTGTGTGACTCTTGTTGCCAAGGATCTGCTATACTTATACAAATGTACATTGCACACATATGCAGATGATTCGGTACTGTTTGAGTCTTTACTTTCACCAAATCATACGTACACTGTAAATATGCTTAAACGGGATACGTTTTTCGTGATATCTTACAATGTACTTGTAAACGTCCTCATTGTTATCTTTGCAAATCACATCCTACTCTATTTAGGACATATGATAATAAATATCTTTGATTTAAAATCTCGTTCATTTTGGCCGCGCCTATGCACATATTTAAAAATACAAAGTTTAAAGCAACCAAACAAGATAGCATAACTTAACAAGTGTTATCTGAAAATATACTTAAATCTGTTTATATGGAGTGGTTAACATCAGTAATTGGAAGATATTAAACTTAATTTCATCGTAAGTACCGGTATTTGGTTCTTACATTTACTTTGTATTTTTTATATGAAAATCTGTAGATCTTGTACATTAATCATATGAAGAGAAGATATTATTCGGATAAATACTTGATTTTTTTTATGGAAATAGTTATAACAGTTATGAAATATATTTACATAAAGTTTTACTTATATTTCTAATTCATATTTTGATATTACTCAGTGATCAATATGCTATTGAATTAAAATCATGTAGTTTTCAGAACATTTATGATTAAAATTCACCCAATGGAAATTGTATAATTACGGATGACCTGATCCTCTACAACAATACGATATAAAACAAAGTTATCCGTTCGGTTGTTCTGTGTTATGTGACTTTTCTAATGCTTTTCATTTCAGATTTGTTTCCTTTACTGTTGTGCAGTGTATCCTTTGAATGCACGGTGTTGTTTGATTGCCCGTCGTGTCTTGGCATCTTCTTATTTGAGGTGTTTAAAGAAAACAATATAAGACAAAATGTTCTCTTCTTTGTAGTCAATCACAAAAAATGGAAGATAAAGAGTTTTGCACACCCTGTTCACGTGAAAATGGGACAAATACCGCTTATATGTTCTGCGTAGATTGTGAGGAAGCTCTCTGTTCAAACTGTAACATCGCACATAGAAAAAATAAACTAACATTAAAACATTCTATTATTGATATTCAAATTGTTTCAACTTTACCTGTGGCCTTGGTTCAGTCAAGCCCTGTTTGCCCCAAACACCGTCTATTCGTACAGGACTTAGTGTGTTGCAGCCATGATGAACTATGTTGTCGACCATGTATGCTTGAGATGCATAAGCATTGTGATAACGTTCTACCGGTAGAAACTGCCTCATTGAAAATAAAGCAGTCAGGTTTAGTAGATGACCTTGTCAAAGAAAGTAAGCAAATATCTACTACAAGCAACAAAATTATAAATGTAGGGAATGAAAATATAAAAGAAATTTCTCATCAAGAGGAAATCATATCTGCTGATATTGGATCAGTTAGGTCATCATTTATTGCTACAGTAAAAAACGTGGAACAAAAATTGACAAAGGACCTGACACAAACTGTTAAAAGCAATGTCAACGAAATTGAGAAATACGAACAAGAACTTCAGGAGTTAAAGAATCGTGCTGTTGTATATCAACAAGAAATGGATTTCATCAGGAAACATGCATCAGAAAACAAAGCACTTCTCTTAATTGAAAGATTGAAGCTAGATCTACATAGAGATCAAACGAAAATGAAAAGCGTTACATCCGATGTTCGGAATGTAAAGTTGATATATAAAGACACCGTAAATTATTCCGTAAAGTCGTTAGGAAACATTGTAGTACAGAATGCACCTTGTCCAGTGAAGTACGTGCCTGGTACTGACATATTACGCAGAAAAATTACTTATAGAGGTAACCTTTATACAGATTAATAATTTCGGAAAATAAAAATAAAGGACTTTAGTCTCTTTACAAGGAAGTGGCTTAGATAAACATATACGCCGATGACATAATTAAGATATTCAGTATGTTTATCTTTTGTAAATGATGATAATATAATTTTATCTATAGCCCATTGTTAATTGTAAACATCATTCTGTTGTAAATGACATTTTCTTTGAAAATTCTCTACTGAATTTTCAAATATTTAAAGAAAATACATTTTTTTTCAGCTTAGTAATACGAAAATTCTGAAGATTTCCCATTATCACGTTCTTCTGAGAATAAACCTCAAATTTTATGACATCAATGCATATAACAAATATTTCTTGAATAATCTTCATTAATACTATAATTACTTGCAATGCACGTACATGAGGAAAAGGTGATATGATGTTAACCTCAATAATAAAAGACAGAACCATACGAAAAAAAAGATATAGTCATAAGAGACAGGCATGCGGCTTTCAACAATATAACATGAGGATAGCGTCCGGTAGTTCTCAAACCAAAAATAAAGCTTGAACATTTGAAGTCTTTGTCATGATGAACACTAATTTTCCAATAGAACAAAAACCAAAAAAACACAGCCAAAAATATTTTGATTAAGGACGGGCAAATAAACACGTGGAGGGCAAATTTCTATGTCAATTAAAAATAATACAGTAACAGTTAAGTCTACTACATATCTTGAATTTCCTCTAGATATAATTTCATTTTTCCAATTGTGAACTTACCATTTTTATGTAGCAACCACTCAGCAGTGCTAATTTCCTGTCATGGTCTCCTTTATAGAGGACTGTTGTTTGCGAAAAAGTTATTGGAGCATGGATCCTATTGGTTAAGTTAAAGTTATCCCTTCTAAGATTAATTGACGCCATCATGATTTGGTTGACTTTAATATCTGTGTCACAGATGACCACGGATATTTTCCTGTTGTCGTAGACATAATTCCATCCTCTTTTCCTCGAATATGACATCACCAAATGCGACTAATTTACGAATTAATTCCTGTAATGAGTATCACGACGGATGCAACATGTTGAATAGGATCTGCTTGCCCTTCCGGTCACCCGAGATCCCTTCCCGGTGTTTGATTGGGTTCGTGTTGCTTAGTCTTTAGTTTTCTGAGATGTGTTTTGTAAACTGTTTGTTGTTTGTCTTTTCGTCATTTCTATTTTTGGCCATCGTATTTTTTTTTTCGAATTATGATTTTTGATTTTCCTCTTTGTATCCTTTATCTCTTTTTGACGAATAAATCACACAAATATGTTAAGATAAAATTTTTAATATAGACGTAAAAAACAAGCCAAAAGAGAGAAAAATGCTTTTTAAAACTTCCTTTTTTAAAAAACGATGTTAATGATAAACAAGGTCATGGTAGAATATTTCAGTTACGTGTCTTGGTTGTTTGTGTTATCGGGTTGCTGTCTCATTTGTGTTTATCCCAAATCTCTTTTTGTTCACATATAATGATTGTTATTACAATGATAACAATAAATTAAATTTATCATACAGATTCAGAAGACCACGTTTTGGACGGAGAAAGATTAAGCCAATACGAGAAAAACAAACAACAGGTATATTGTATATCTACGAAAGCCTATTAGGGTCACAAAAAAGAATAAAATATTTATCTCGTAATTACGAGATAAATATCTCGTAATTACGAGAAAACTATCGCGTAATTACGAGATAATTATCGCGTAATTACGAGAACTATCGCGTAATTACGAGATTATCATTTTTTAACTCGTAATTACGAGATAATTTTTGCGTAATTACGAGAAAACTATCGCGTAATTACGCGATAATTATCTCGTAATTACGCGATAGTTTTCTCGTAATTACGAGATATTTATCTCGTAATTACGCAATAAATATTTTTTTTGTGTGACCCTAATAGGCTTTCGTATATATCATTAACAAGGCTTAAAATAATAATTTAAGTCAGCTAAGTTTTATGATACATTAATTCATATAGAAATAGTCAAACACACCCTTTTCTATCTATATCTACTTTTCAGCAATATTCTTTAAACAAAGCACTGTTGCAACGTGCATTAAAATACATGAAAACCCAAATGAGTAAAATATGTTTAAACAATGTGACAGTATCGGAATTGATTGTTTGTCAGGCCTATGAAAATTTATTCTAATCTTTTAATTACTTATTTCTTTTCAAACTCCATTTCAAATTAATGTTATTCTGCCTGATATCAGTCCATTGTTTGTCTGTTGTTCGTATAGCTTGGTTTATGCATCCATGATGTTGATAATACGTACTAAATAGAAGTTTGTTGTGCTCGGGAACTGTCAGTCACTCGTCAACATTTAGTTTTCTTATGAATACATTTACTTTCCAATTCGAACAAAGGAAAACACCATTATGTTCCCCCTTTTTTATTCTTAGTCGCGTCATAGATAAATAATGTAAGCAGTGCAGTAAGAAAAATAAATTCAACTGACATCCGTGGGTCCAGCACATAATTCTGGGATAACATTTTACTTCAGATAGTTACAATACGTTTGTTAACTTTGAAAACAAACGGATGTCTGCATCAACTTTCATAATTGAAGTGGGTCAACTGCTAAGTTGGCATTTGCTATATCAGCAGAGATTTGGTTTTCCATATATAGTCTGTGTAATTATTGATTTTTGTAGGAGGAAGATATAGACAACAGTTCAGTGTATGATGATATAAACGAAGTGACTAAACAAATTTCTAAAGCAAGGTCATATGCTAAATCTGCAGGTAATGATTATAAATCAGAGTAATTACGTCTTTTTGAGATATGAATTATTACTTTTAAAAAAGGAGATTTCTAGTATGCGCCCGTGAATCAGTTACCCAACGAAACAAAAAGAACAGGAATTCTAATGGTCCCAAACAATAGTCAAGACTAGCGTCGGACAGTTGCGAATTAAGGAGAAGGTATGATAAGGCATGCATTTTGTAACTGTACCGAGTTTGCTGTGTTTTCATCAGTAACGCAAATATTCAGTAGTTTAGAAAGTTAAAAATGTCAACATTCATGGGAAGCTGGATTGTAAGCAGGGAAAAACCAACGTCTACAAATGCAAATATTTATCGTATATAAATCTGCTTAGTCGCTTTGTAATTCTTGAGCTCGTATGACGTTGTAGCGCCTAAGTAATCAGCAACGTCATAAAGTGAGAGCGGAAATTATATACATGTATATCAAGTTTGCTTCTGGTAGTAAAAACAAAGCGTAAACATGTCTACAGGAGTTAAAAAAGTAACCAAATTTTGAACGCTAAACAGATTGAGCCTCTGTGTAGATCTATACAGTTTAGATACAGATTATTAGGCATTCTGCGTACAGATATCAGACATACATGTACAATGCATCTATAACGCGGGTAGAACATGGTTTGAATTTGGTTTTTTCCTGTTTATAATAATAAATCTCAAGTAAAATGTAGGTTAACATTAGAAATGAATTATATGTATGCGCGATATGTCAGATACTTAAGATAAGAATAACCATATCGATATTACTTCCATGGAATAACTTATGTCGTTTTAAGCTCACCTGGCCCTGTAGGTCATCGTTCGTCGTCGTCACCGTCTGTTAACTCTTACAAAAAATCTTCTCCTCTGAAACTACTGGGCCAAATTTAACCAAACTTGGACACAATCATCATTTGGGTACTTGTTTAAAAAATGTGCCCGATGACCCCGCTTGCCAACCGACAAGGCCACCTTAGCTAAAAAATAGAACATAGGGATAAAATGCAAGTTTTGTCTATTATCTTGAAAACTATCATATTAGTGAGAGAAAATCTGATAGGGGCAACAATGTTCAAAATGTTGAGTTCTATCTGTTTGACTTCTTATAGGAGTTATCGCCCTCAAATGACGATTTTTACCAATTTTTAGTATGTTTGCCTTATATCTTAAAAATTATGATAGATAGAGAGAAACTTTAATAGCAAAAATGATTAACAAGACAAGATCTACAATCAAGTCAAACACTGCTGAAATCGTTAGACGACCCCTTATTGGAGTGTTTTCCCTTTAATGACACAATTTTTTCGATTTTTTTTGCGTTTTATATCTAAAAATTATATATGATAGTTAGAAACTTAAATAGACAAAAGTGATCACTAAGACAAGATCTGCAAAGAAGTAAACGTGACCGAAATCATTTGTCAACTCCTTCTTGAAGTTATTGCTCTATAATGTCGATTTTTCCCATTTTTTGTTTTTTTTGCCTATTATCTTGAAAAGTATTATATATATATAATAACTTTAAAAAACAAAAATGACGAACAAGACACGATCTAAAAATAAGCCAATTTGGCCGGTATCTTCAGTCGACTGCTAACTGGAATTATTTTACTTTAATAACAAGTTTTATCATTTCTTTTGCATTTGTTGTCTATTATCTTGAAAATTTTAAAAGATAAATAGAAACTTTAAAAAGGAAAAATATCAGCAGGATGACTTGAATTTTCAGTACACTCTTGATAGAGTTTTTCCCCTTCAATGATGAGTTTTATAAAACAGTGGCCATTGTTGAAGATGCAGGTGAGCGACACAGGCTCTTTAGAGCCTCTAGTTTTCTTCTCTACAATATTTATCTTACAGATTTAGGAGGCGTCAATATGGAAGAGGAATGCCACAAATCAGAAAAGCCACCTGAGAAACTGGTATATCTTTATCAATTGTTACAATGTTATTCAAATCTAGCTCACTAATGTTATCATTTTGTTATTATAAAAATATATATCATGGAAAAATTGATACGAAAACTAATAAGAAAGCCTAGTATGTACATTTTCCATACAATAAAAAAAATAGTCTTTTTCGCACAAATCTCATAGCAGAACTTCCTGGAACTGTAAAAACACGCACGTACTACACACTAAACAAATATGAAATTTTTAATCACACGACTGATTTATATTTAAATAGCAGTTGTACACATAACGACTGATTTATATTTAAATAGCAGTTGTACACATAAAGCATTGAATTTGATTTTATTGCTAAACGTTTATCTTTTTTTTTAATTTTGTAGACAGATGAAGTTTATGACGATATATCAGAGGTCACAAACGAAATTTCCAAAGAACCTTCATATGTGAAATCTGCAGGTATAGACTATTAGTTGGGCAGTTAAAATAGAGAACAATTTAATTATGACGAAGTAATTGCGTTTACGAGGAAATCTAGTATCAAGAAACGTGGAAGCCTTCCTTCCAAAAAAATATTGACGTTCAGGGCCCGATCAAATAATTGAGTTATAACAATGACGAGTTTTTTGAAAATTTGTAAATGCACGAATTACAGGCTGAAGTGAGACTATGTGTATCGACATGGTAAATATCTTTTTTTATTATTTAGTCATGTCTAGTAGTGAGTGTCACAGACGGAATTGTGATAAATGAAGCATAGAATTAGGGAACAGAAGTATTTTATTTGAAGATTGACCTCCGTTGATATCGGATTTGACAGTTGCATACATATTTGTGACAGTCAAATCCTAAATAAATATACGTCGACCACTTTAACTACATATTTCTTTTCAGGTCGGCATAATAATTTATCCCCAAATGAGGTTATGTTAGAACACAAACTGAGTACTGGATATTTTACAGAGACATGGAAAGGTAACTAATATTTTCTTTATTATATCATATTTTTATAAACGTATCAATGAATTAATGATGTAATATATTTCTAAATATGTTTAAAAATACAAAACTATACATTGAACAGGAAAATTGAGGCAGAACATTCCAGTGGTAGTCAAGATATTTAAGGCGGGGGCGAAAAATATTTCAGTAGAACAACTTACAGAAACTACACACGAGAACATCGTCAAGTTTTATGGAGCATTTGAAGACAAAGCATCCAACAACATTGTTTTTCAGTACATGACGCGAAATCTAGTACAATATTTACATTCTCCGGAGGGGCAATCACTTCATCAAACAGAGTTGCTTGCCGTTGCAGCCCAGGTAAGATAATAATTTCAAAAAGGGTTGTTTACAGTAACATATACTAGTTTCTTACATATAATACGTGTATTAATGTAAACAATACCTCAATGCCAAAGTATTTGCGGTAATGATTTGGGGAAACCTAAATTGCGAAGGATGCACTGCAGAATACATCTTATAATTAACGATAATAGAAAATCCTATTTGTTGAATCTATCTCATATTCCAAGTATTTGTGTGTTCTCAGAAATTTGACTTCTAAGATCGAAAAGCCAAAAAGGTTACAGTCAGCAGAAAGATATGCTACAGTACTTCGAGTTCTGAGTTCAAGCAAGTCCATCAATTCTTTAATTCTTACAGGCGGAAACCCAGTTGAAATTAAACAAAAGAAATGGAACTCTTTGTTAGAGAAGGTAAAAACGCAAAATTGGTATATTTGAATTGTTTACATCTGTTTCTATGGGCTTTAAAAGTTTAATAAATGTGCATAATTTAACATTTTATGCATCTTAGATACGTGTTTTTATTTTAATTATAGCATGGAGCTTCAAGATATTTATAAACTTTTAAATTATAGACAAATTTTCATAAAACAGTCGATTGTGGCAGGTTAAAATCCAAGTGGATCTCTCTTGTTCATAAGCATAAATTCTGCCGAAAAAAATTCCACAGAAAGATAATAGATTGATCTTTCTAAAGCATTAATTTTCATCTCTGTCCCGGCGAATGTTTTTTGGGAAAAAATCCAAAAAATGGGCAACAGTTCCAACAAAACTGGAAGTAAAATATAACAAATCTATTACCAAGATGGTAAGATGATGAAATGGCGAATAAGAATAAAAATTCGGCAAACAGCGCTGGTAAAACCAATCATACCACATCTCCTTATTTTTATATACAAATACTAAACGATAAGAACCCCTTTATAATCCAGAGTTACTCTTGTGCCCCTGGAATGTTAGCATTTAAAACCCGTTATGTTATTCATATAGGTACTATGACATAAAGAATTATTATACAATAGCTCTTTGTAAACAAGCTTGATATATTTGTACAAGGTTGCACGAGGAATGTCCTGGCTGGAGACTAAGCAAATTGTACATTGTGGTTTACATGCAAGCAAAATTCTAATTGGAGAAAATGATGACGCTAAAATTTCCGGATTGGAATATGTGACAAGTATGTACAATAAACTTTCCTACTGATTTGTTCTGTCTTAACGACGATACACGAGTTTACACAGTCATCTGGTAGAACATACGATGGAATTTTCATTGTGTAACTTGTTCAGGTTTTGTGAGCTGTTACAGTATTTAGCATTTTCCTAAAATAAAATTATTGAGATAGCTTATACATGCTATATACTTACATGTTTCTTTTATGTAATCATTCGCCGCGATAAAAGCGAGTGTGCTGACGTAGCCTTGTCATGGCGTTGTCAGTTTATTTTCGACTTATGACTTTGAAGTCCCTTTCGTATCTTTCGCCTCTCTTTTTGAACAGCAATCATTCTATTAATGTATTCATCAATTTTCTACAGAATAGTATAGGCAATCCAATGTCAATACTAGTTCTTCCCTAGGAAATAACCTTTGAATTTTTTTTATCCAATTCATCTGATTTTCATTCGCAACTAACTATTTCAGCTGAAAAAGTCGTTGCACTTTATCCTTACACTGCTTCCAGCAGTGATGAATTAACATTTCAAAAGAATGACGTCATCACTGTGATTGGTACCGAAGATCAAAACTGGTGGGAAGGTGAAATGAAAGGACAAAGAGGTTATTTCCCTGAAAATTATGTTTCAGCACCTCAAAAATATATCAGTAAGTTGAGATTTATGTATATTTTTTTGTTGAAAAAGATATTTATATCAGGTTCTCCCTACTCACCTCTTGAAACTTAACTCATGAATCTTATATTAATTTTTTCGAGAAAAAAAACCCCGAAACAATCAGACATGTTTTACCAGGTTATATTCAAACAGTGTTTCTGTAGCACACTAACCTAACTGGCAATGCAATAAAAAGGTACCAAGAGTAGCGGATTTCACATTTAAATCCTCTTTGACTGTTGATATAAAGCCAAACTAAGGAAGTACTCGCTTAATTGATGGTGTTATCGGTTTCCTTTCGACGTATGGATTTTAATGGTCCCTTTGGTATGATTCTAAGAGGAAGTACGGTAGGATTTTTCAGCAAAAAAAAAATTGCTGTAGCGAAATTGACATTTTGAATGTAATGATGGTTAAGAAAAAATTCCTATTTTGTTAATTTTACATATTTCTATTACCAATCTAATTTAAGTCAATCTTTCACTATGTTCTAAGTTTTTTTTCTATCAAAACATTATCAGTTAAATGACGAAATATTTCCGAATATAGAACAACAATGCGATGGTCTAACCATTTAATTTCAAGACATCGTGCCGAATTTATGCATCAACATAATTGTAAACATTTTTCCAACTTAGCAAAGCATTACAGTTTCAATGTTTTGTTCTCAATTTTTCTTCATAAATCGTAAATCGATAAAATAGATTTAATCAATACAACGGTAATATTTTTCAATTCTATCTATGTTTGCGGGTAAAATTTGTAATCAAAGTTCCATTTTGATTGGTTAATTGAAAATTTGAATACAAAGTCATCTAAACATGACCTCTTATTGGATGTTTTCAGATCTCACACATCGCAACAACAAACGAAGCAAAGAGAAAGATCTGATTTTAATCGGATTTTTATACCACTATATTGACTGGGTGACTACTAGTCCACTCAACACTTTTCGATGATAAACATAATATTACTGGGCATAAGATTGCAAGGAGTTAATAAAGTTTATATATTTTATATTTCTAGTAAAGAATAGCTTTAAATCAGTTTAATTGAAGTCTGGAGCTGGCATGTCAGTTAACTGCTAGTAGTCTGTTGTTATTTATGTATTATTGTCATTTTGTTTATTTTCTTTGGTTACATCTTCTGACATCAGACTCGGACTTCTCTTGAACTGAATTTTAATGTGCGTATTGTTATGCGTTTACTTTTCTACATTGGCTAGAGGTATAGGGGGGGGTTGAGATCTCATAAACATGTTTAACCCCGCCGCATTTTTGTTTCTCGCTGCATTGAAGACCTGTTGGTGGCCTTCTGCTGTTATCTCTTCTGTGGTCGGGTTGTTGTCTCTTTGACACATTCCCCATTTCCATTCTCAATTTTATTACAATTAATTCCACTCTGTATATAAGACTTCGACTAGTTATTAGCTGCATATATGTATGTGTCTACAAATTTAATCCAATAATTTATTGTAGAAATAGATCCGTCTCTGTTCAAATGGTATGCCTTGGAAACTCTAAAAAGCGGACAATGTTGTGTGAAGTCAAATGTTTGGTCATATGGGATTTTGCTCGTAGAAATCCTGACACATGGACAGGTTCCGTATCAAGGTATTTAACTTAATTTAATTTGAATATAAATCAATTGTTTATAGATATAAGAAGATGTGGTATGAGTGCCAATGAGACAACTCTCCATCCAAGTCTTGTCCACTTATTTGTTTATTTGTTAAAAAAAAAAACATTTATAAAAATCATTTAAAAAAGTATAGTAAAAAATGCCGAACTCCAATGTAAATTCAAAAAAGGGGGAAGTCCATACAAACTGATAAAATCAAACGTGAGACTTTATCAACCAACGCAACGAATGAAAAACAACCGTAATAGTTCTGACTTGATACAGGTATTTCCCGTAGAAAATTGTGGGAACAACCTGGTTTTATAACTAATAGGTTAATGTGACAACAATTGGGATCCAGCAGCAAAAACTGAGTAAACATACATCACATAAATTATGAAGCTCTTTACCATCAGCTTTTTGTGTAAAACAGTAGGTATGGACTAACGCAACCAACCAAAATTCGTCAAATTCAAATTCTGAGAAACGAATAAACATTAGATATTACTCTAAGTATGACAGATAAGCATAAACCTTGCAACTTTACATGATGCTGAATTCATTTATAATTCATGTAGCGATCATCATATGCAACATAACCACTTTTCTTTTTAAAGGTGTAAAGGACACTGAAATATTATCAAAGTTAAAACAAGGTTATCGACATCCAGAGCCAACCCACTGTCCTGATGATTTGTATGATATGATGCTGAAATGCTGGAATGAAAATTCAGAAGAAAGACCTACGTTTGAAACAATATATAACTTTCTTGAAGACTTGATATTTGGATTTTAAACTCCAAATTACCAATATGGTTTTCATTTTAATACATATGAAGTAACGTGAAAGGTAATTTTATAAAATTATGTTTAGACATTTTGTTTTTCGAACAAAACGTCGGAAAACAATATTAGAGTATTAAGTGAAGGGAAAGGGAACACGAGAGAGCTTGGGGGAAACTTTAAATTAATTCCTCATAAACCATGCTTATCATAAAAAGAGAGAAGGGAGATACACAGGGAGAAATCACTTCAAATCGAAATAGAAAATACGGTAGTAAAACGACGTGAAATATATACTCCTAACATTTAAAATCTTTGTTCTATTTATATGGTTCACCTGGAGTATTTTGTTACAAACACTAAATGTGTATTAACTTGTATGTAGATGATTGTGATGAGATATGACAAATAGTGTGACAGTCAAATGAGAAAAGTACCTACCCTAACCGCTATACAGACCAACAAAGATCTCTATATATACCTTTAGACACAACTGAGTCAAAACAAAATAAATAAAAATGTTTATTTAACAGCATTTGCACAGTAATAACTACAACTGGAAAGATAATGACTGTGTCCGGTGTAGATTCCATCGGAATCATCAGCCTAGATTATTCCTGTCTTTCTGTTCTTTGAAATTTTTCAATTTTTTTCTCAGTTTTTTAAGCCCTTTTTTATTTCCTTTAAGAGCAGTTGCCTTTAAAATGATACCATATCGTTCATGTGGTTTGTGATTTTAATCGAAAATGAGAATTTCTGAAAACAGTTTAACAGAAGCGCAACGCGTCATGCGCGCTCAATAAGGAAATTAGTATTTGTATATCTTCACCAAATTATTTTTCTGTCTTCATATATGTTAACATTCATGGAACGATACATTAGTAAATGGAATTTGGACTTATATTGTCATTTTGATCTAAGCGCTTTCTGAATTGTAGGAACATGTTAAGTCTCATTCAGACCTTTCTATGACATATTTTATATGTGGTTATTTCATTCATGTTAAGATTTGTGCTTTTGTCAGTCAATTTTCATATGATTAATTTCCAGCCACAAGAAGATATATAATGACCACTGAACAATCATATACTTACCATATCTTCGTTGGCCACGGCCCAACGTTTCATCGATACTAGATTTATCTTATTAGAAAAGTGTGCAAATGTACTGAACGACTGAATATTTGTTTTGATAATTTTCAGGCTAGTTCAGAGCAAAATAAGCGTTTCATTTTAATATCGTTTACCAAAATAAATGATGCAACATAACATAATTTTTTATGTGTATCATATGAATACAAACACGTTTAAAATGTGTCAGCAAAACTTACTGTTACAGTTCCGTTAAGTGTTGTCCCTTTTTAGCTCACCTGGCCCGAAGGGCCAAGTGAGCTATTCTCATCACTTGACGTCCGTCGTCCGTCGTCGTCCGGCGTCGTCCGTCGTGGTCCGTCGTCGGCGTTAACTTTTTACATTTTGAACTTCTTCTAGAGAACCACTGAATGGAATGAAACCAAACATGGCATGAATGTTCCTTATTAGGTGCTGACCAAGTGTTGTTACTTTGTAGCGAATCCATCATCCAAGATGGCCGCCAGCGGGGGACTTAGTTTAACATAGGACCCTATGGGAAATACATACAAATGTCTTCTTTTAGAGAACCACTGAATGGAATGAAACCAAACATGGCATGAATGTTTCTTATGAGGTGCTGACCGAGTGTTGTTACTTTGAAGCCGATCCATAATCCAAGATGGCCGCCAGCGGGGGACTTAGTTTAACATAGGACCCTATGGGAAATACATACAAATGTCTTCTTTTAGATAACCACTGAATGGAATGAAACCAAACATGGTATGAATGTTCCTTATGAGGTGTTGACCGAGTGTTGTTACTTTGTAGCCGATCCATAATCCAAGATGGCCGCCAACAGGGGACTTAGTTTAACATGGGACCCTATGGGAAATACATACAAATGTCTTCTTTTAGAGAACCACTGAATGGAATGAAACCAAACATGGCATGAATGTTCCTTATGAGGTGCTGACCAAGTGTTGTTACTATGAAGCTGATCCATAATCCAAGATGGCCGCCAGCAGGGGACTTAGTTTAACATTGGACCCTATGGGAAATACATACAAATGTCTTCTTTTAGAGAACCACTGAATGGAATGAAACCAAACATGGCATGAATGTTTCTTATGAGGTGCTGACCGAGTTTTGTTACTTTGAAGCCGATCCATAATCCAAGATGGCCGCCTGCAGGGGACTTAGTTTAACATGGGACCCTATAAGAAATACCTACAAATGTCTTCTTTCAGAGAACCACTGAATGGAATGAAACCAAACATGGCATGAATGTTCCTTATGAGGTGCTGACCGAGTGTTGTTACTTTGAAGCCGATCCATAATCCAAGATGGCCGCCAGCGGGGGACTTAGTTTAACATGGGACCCTATGGAAAATACATACAAACGTCTTCTTTTAGAGAACCACTGAATGGAATGAAACCAAACATGGCAAGAATGTTCCTTATGAGGTGCTGACCAAGTGTTGTTACTTTGAAGCTGATCCATCATCCAAAATGGCAGCCAGAGGGGGACTTAGTTTAACATAGGACCCTATGGGAAATACATACAAATGTCTTCTTTTAGAGAACCACTGAATGCAATGAAACCAAACATGGCATGAATGTTCCTTATGAGGTGCTGACCAAGTGTTGTTACTATGAAGCCGATCCATAATCTAAGATGGCCGCCAGCGGAGGACTTAGTTTAACATAGGACCCTATGAGAAATACGTACAAATGTTTTCTTTTAGAGAACCATTGAATGGAATGAAACCAAACATGGCATGCATGTTCCTTTTGAGGTGCTGACCAAGTGTTGTTACTTTGAAGCTGATCCTCCATCCATGATGGCTGCCAGATGGGGACAATGTTTAACATGGGACCCTATGGACAATACATACAAATGTCTTCTTTTAGAGAACCACATACTGAATGGATTGAAACCAAACATGGCATGAATGTTCATTATGAGGTGCTGACTAAGTTTTGTTACTTTGAAGCTGATCCTTCATCCATGATGGCCGCCAATGGGGGGGACTTCCTTTAACGTAAGACCCTATGGGAAATACATACAAATGCTTCTTCTAGAGGTGCACTGAATGGAATGAAACCAAAACATGGCATAAATGTTTCGTATGAGGTGCTGATTAAGTGTTGCTACTTTGTTGCCGATTTACTGTTCAAGATGGCCACCAGGATTTTTTTTATTAAATTACAGGACCAATATTAAACCAAATTTGGCCTCACTCATTATTAGGGTATCTGTTATGATTTTAATCTATTTTTACATGATGTCCAAAACCAAAGTAGAATCAGGTGAGCGACACAGGCTCTTGAGAGCCTCTAGTTTCTATTTATAGCAGATAGACTGATATTTGTTGGTATGTTCAAACTTTACATGATTAACACCCCCCATTTGCTACTGAAGATATTAAATTCGTACAGAAACTGAAACAAAACATATTTTTAGATAAATAAAACATACAAAGATTGGAGTGGCAAAACAAAAACTGAATTCAAATACTGACGGACAACAAAATAGTAAAAAAAAAACACAGACATTAAAAGGGAAATAAAAGAAAAACTACAAACAGGCAGCACATACTAGTGAAATGGTAAAGCTTTAAACTCGAACAAGATAAGAAATAAAAAGAAGTACGTATATTCTGACAAAAGTCAGGACACTCTTTATAAGATGTGGGGAAAAGTTACGTTAGTGTCATTATTGTATAATGGAATGAATATTCGCAAAGGTGTGTCTAGTAGTTTCAAATAAGAAATGATCTATTTTATGTTACAAAAAAAGCGGTAATTATACTTACAAATATTTTTTTAATAAATTAAAATACCTAAAATGCATTGATATGAAGTCGTGAACGCTTATGGATCTTTTCTTGTTGATACTTTTATTTTAGCTTCTTCCAGAGGTAACCTGCTGTACGAATCTGTCGCATTGCAGTAGGTCATGCTATTTTCATACTTTTTATGACGTATATTCACTTAATCAGTTGGTTGTGTACGGATTGATATTGCAACGAAACATAATGTATTTGTTAATTGTAATCGGTTTTGAAATAGCTTCCAGTAACTTCGAGTACTCTAAGATCCGTACTTTGTGTCTTTTGTCTAATTATTGGTTGTTTTGTTTTTCTTCGTGTCGATTTGCCGAGTCAAGTCCTTTTCGTAAAGATCAAATATTTTTCAATTCCAAGATCTTATGAACAACAAATCACCTGAACTAAACATAAGAGCACCAAATCACCTGAACTAAACAAGTTGCACAAATTTATCAAAATGAATAATAAATGTATAGAAATGTCCTTTTGCCGAGTCAAGTCCTTTTCGTAAAGATCAAATATTTTTCAATTCCAAGATCTTATGAACAACAAATCACCTGAACTAAACATAAGAGCACCAAATCACCTGAACTAAACAAGTTGCACAAATTTATCAAAATGAATAATAAATGTATAGAAATGTCCTTGGTAACTACTTTATGTCTCTTCCTTATATTTGTATTTCTATTTTATACTATGTATGTTAATTTATTTGTGGTCTATACCATTGTTTAACGAGAATAAAGATATATATGTAAATATCAATGTCATTCGTATAAGGATTGTTTTTGATATAACAACTTGTGCTGCATCTCAGCTGATTTCTTCTTTTTTCCTGTAACATTAAATAGTTTTTGATTAGTATCTTGTTTTGCTTTCTTTCTGGCTGGATTTTACTTTTGCTTGCTATTACTACATTTTACTGAGCTGTATGCTACTCATGTTATGCTTTGATTTTTTTACAACAAACAGTGCTGTTTCTGATCGCTGAATTTATATGCTTTGCTTTCTATTTTGCTTTTTGTCTATTGTATTAGTTCTGCTCTTGTTTCATTGCTTTTTATGCTACTGCGTTCTTTTATGTTTTTGTTTATTTTTTGACTGTGTGTGTTTATGAAGTTGATTTATATAGTTGGTTTCAGAGCTCCTAAGAGCTCATGTTACCTTTTGTTTTGTATGTATGTATATACATGTGTATATTTGCATATACGTGCCGGCCCTAAAATTTAAATTCTTATTTGCTCGCTTATTTGTAATGAATCTTAAAATATTTAAATAACAAGCAGTTCCCGGAATTATGCCGTTACCACATAATTATACTGAGAAAAGTATGTTCTTTGAAATAGTTTGCTGAGATATCCTAGAGGCATTATCAGGAAACCCGATTCATAACTACTGAGTACGATAGGAAATATTCCAGGTTTGAAGTAGCCCGAGTATTGAACTCGCTTTTAAATGAGGCTTGAGTCACGACCTCATTTTAATAGTTTAAAAATGATCCAAAATGTAATTTTAATGCATGTTATCAATGACAACTGATTTTTTGTATTGCTTCCTGCTAGATAAACAAGTTTTTGGTTTGTATACTAGTATTGTTTTGCTTTTGTTCTGACTGAATTGTTTTTTTGTTTGTTTGCTATTACTGACATTTTTCTGAGCTATCCTGCTTTCAATCTAGTGCCGTTTTGTTTTGCTATTTACAGTGCTGTTGCATATGGCTGAATGTAAAAATGCTCTGTTTTCTAGTTGCTTTTTAGCTGTATTCTTTATGCGCCGGCTATTATTATAATTTACTTGTTTGTATACATGTATACTAACGTCTATGTTATCAATCTTTAAAGATTCCAATGACAATGACAAACAATTGTAGGAAATAAACCTTGACCTCATAAGCATACCGAGAAAAGTATGTTCTTGTTAAGATCAGCCTAAAGGCATAATTATGATGATGAATTTTCTGTGTAAAATACATCTGTAAAGTTTTACGTAATGCATATTATTAATTGATGAACTGGGAAAACGTAACGTTGAAATGTGAAAACTTATTTTAACTATTTCACTTCTGGTGGTGTTGAATGCAGGTAAGTTTATCATTATATGCACAGCTTTTGTATTCGATCAAAGTTAAAACTTCCTCCTCACCGCATATTTCAAGAAGAGACAGTATAAATATTGATAAACAAAGAGCGTAATCACATGCTTTATCCAAACAAAGTACGAAAGTAGGTATCATTCCAACCAGAAAACCTCGGCTTTCTGAGGTAGTATTTCTTATATCATTTAGCTGGATTAATTAAAATATCCGAAACTACTTCACAAAAACTGCCTTTCGATATATTTTTAAATTAAGATCTTATTATAATCATCTGCAACTACACAAGCAACAACATGGACAGCAATACGAAAGACAATTTTCACATTTCACCATGCATTTTGAATGATCATCTTTTTCGATCATTACAAGTGTGGACACAGATCAGTGTGGCTAGTAATTGTTTAATTTCTGTTAGTACGTTTAACAGTGTTATCTCCACTGAGTTTATGAATTGGTTGTTACGCCACCAGATGTTTTCTGAGCTATGTCTATGTCTTTCTCATAGGGTTCTATGTTAAACTATGTTCCACGGTGACATCTTGCATATTCAAATAAGAAGCAAAAGCTCCAAATTGGCATTTTGCAGGGTTCGACTTTAGTTTTTTTAATCAACTTGCACTTCGGGCAAATGACCATCATATGTTACTTGTCTGAAATTTTGTACATGCTTCATAAATTTCCAGACTGCCATTTATGGACATAAAATGGTGTAGCATTAGCTTTTCGGTTTTCCTGCTGAGTCCACTAGAGTCCACTGCCTCAAAATAAAGCGACTAAGGGTTGTTATTTTTGCAACATTAAATGCTCCTTATCCATTGAAAACACTATTAATAAAACAGTTTTCCAAGGCCCATGTGCTTTACCTGGGATAGATATTAGTGCAGATCAGGTAATTTTTTAATCACAGAAACCCTCTATCTATATAAAGAAGTAGTGTTGAACTATGAGAAAGCTATGATTATTAGTTTAAAATTTATTCATATATAGATATAAGAAGATGTGGTATGAGTGCCAATGAGACAACTCTCCATCCAAGTTAAAATTTATAAAAGTAAACCATTATAGGTCAAAGTACGGTCTTCAACACGGAGCCTTGGCTCACACCGAACAGCAAGCTATAAAGGGCCCCAAAAATTACAAGTGTAAAACCATTCAAACGAGAAAGCCAACGGTCTAATCTATATAAAAAACGAGAAACGAGAAACACTTATAAACCACATCAACAAACGACAACTACTGAACATCAGATTCCTGACTTAGGACGGGTGCAAACAATTGCAGCGGGTTTAAACGTTTTAATGGTACCAAACCTTCACCCTTATCTGAAACAATAATGTAACATCACAACATAGAAAGACACACTATAAAATATCAATTGAAATGGCATATATATATATATTTTCTTATTTCAATTTATTTCACTTTTGTTCAAGGTTTATGAACATCAACAATATTAAGGTTATCTCCAATTTATATTATTGTGCATCTGATTGCTTTCCTTAAATAATCAGGTCCAATCTGAATGGTTCGTTATAGAATGCACCAACAACTGATTCTTACTGTACTTCAATGTTTATACATTTTGTTTTTAGAAAAGAAAAAACTAAAAATATGCAAGTTTGTCGATATTTTCAGGTAGTATTTATATAATGATTTATTTGTTAAAAAGAGAATAAATGAAGAATAGATTCTGTATTTTTCAACTTTAAATTTTATGTGTCCAGGGCAATTTGAGCAGCTGATAATGGCTAACCTGGATTTTTAATTTATTCAATCTTTGTTTAAAATGTTCAAGATTTGGAGAAGCCACATTTATTTGTAATTGTATGGACTTTTCAAAATGATCGCATTGTAAGTTTTTGCGCCAGACTCGCTTTTCGTCTACAGTGACACTCAAACAAAAATAGAAAAAAGCCCAAATAAAGTAAAAGACTGACGAGCATTGAGGACTCAAAATTAGGAAAAGTGTTGTCAGATATAGCTTAGGTAAACTATTCTATTGACAATGTTTGTTTTCGGATAGGCACCAGACCTCAACATTAGTAAAGGAACACCCTGGATGCATGATTTGGTTTTCAATGAGTGATATGGTTTTGGCTCAGATGTATGTGCATATTTCTTTATGGCTTTATGATGTTCCAATGTGGTAGCCATATCTTATTTCAGGATGGCATTCAAAATCGCAAATACTCATATATAGGATCACCCTAGTAACACAGTATTTACATATGTGAGACATCTTCTGACAAGAAATTTTGTATATGCATATCTCATATTTCTATGTTAAACTGTGATCAGTGGTGGTGACCATCTTCAATTTGGATTCGCAACAAAAACTCAAAAATGTTTTAAGGCTATTTATGGATCATTTTTATAATATTTTAAATAAATAAGCAAAGAAACTCTTAAATAGATCTTTGCAATTTCATGTAATCAGAATACATTTTTTACCCTTACAATCATTATAAATTTCAGATCCACACTAAAAGATATAAATTGGTGAAGTACCTTCATTTATGAAAACTCCTACTAATTTTGGTTCTAGTTGGCAAGAAAAATTTAGCAGAAGTTTATAATGTGACAAGTTTTCAGAAAAGTAATGAAATTTAAAGTAATGGCATTTCCTTGCATGACCCTTTGGGGCCAGGTGAGCTAATAGGTGTAGAACCTATACTTTTATTGTGGTCTCGAAATGTTTTCTGCCTAGACTCCCAAGGTCTGGTGGAGTTTATACACATTATTTTTTTTTCAAATATATCTATTCTAACATTTGACTGAATTTGAATTTGAAATGGAAAAGAGTAATGTAGAATCAATTTAATTTTGTGGAGAAAGATATAAGAATGAACCTTGAAATAAAGTGAAAAAAGGAGCCTGCAGTTTTAACATCATAAATAAAAATATAGCAGGGCTGTCTTTAACATCATTAAATACAAATATAGCAGGGCTGTCTTTACCACTAATTTAAACAAATAAGTTAAACAATTTGATTTGATTTTTGAAGTCAGTTAGGCCTTTAAAGTTCCGTCCCTTATATAAATATGATGTATAAATGTATGACCATTTGTACTTTGGACTACTTTTTTTACTACAAAATGGCAGAATAGATGGTTCAAATTGAGTGCCAAAAAATCAGACATACTACATGAATTGCTTTAAGCATTTTTTGTGTATTTAATCATGCTTTTATTTATCTGGGTGTCAGGCCGTCGGAGAATCTTTGGTTTAAATGGAAATACAATGCGTTAATCTCCCTTAACGGTAATGTTATGCTTCAATTATACCAAGTGCTGACAGTTGTTAAAGATATTTATAGATTATACAAAATGTTTCAACCATCTAACCTTACAGTTTATAGCATGTTAATGTAGATATTGGTTGTCTGTTTTCAAATCTTAATTCTATAAAGAATGTATTTACTAAACATACATTGCAAAGAACATTAAAACACATTAAGACAGAGAGCTCAATCTTGTTTTATACTTTGTAGTATTGGCAATAGTCACGCATGGACCAATACATGTATGTGTTGGTATATATGAGCAAATTTGTAGTTTATGTCTTTAAAAAAGCCGTCTGACTAGTCTGGCAATTATGCTGTTGGGTAGAAAAATAAAAAATTAATCGGCCCAACTGTCCAGTAAGGGGCGACCATTAAACTTTGAGGAGGTGTACTGGTTTTCTCTAAAACTATTCCGATTCAAGCAGAAGGGAAAAAGACTTTTTCTGATTGAGAGTTTTTGTCAATAAATTCAATGAAATATCTAAAAGAAACTATGTGTCTCACATGACAAAAATAATTTGAGGCTTGTATGTTAAAAACAGCTGTGCCAATAGCGCATGATACATATACACCCTTATTGTTCATCTTGACATTGTTAAAAAAATAAAATTAGATATCAAGAAAAAAAATGGCTCTGTGGAAAAACATGCATGAAGATACTCTTAGGCAAATATATATATATAGTGTCAATTATGACTGTTCATAGTTCCATAACTCTGGAATGACAAACCTTCAAAATCTAGAGAACATTCACCAATCCCAACAACAGTGATAAGTTTTTTGAAGTAATTTGATCCGTGCATACTATAGGATGTATGACATTTAAGAAATGCCTTTTATTCATCTGACAGTCTTTTGAAATCCCGTCACTCTGGAACAAATAAACAGAAAATTACAAAAATCGAAATAGAGCTATTTTTTATCAATCCAAACGATATTGTAAAGTTTTAAGGAAATCAATCTAGGCATATTTGAGTTAGGCAATTTTTTACCTATAGCGCACTAACTTCAAACGGTTAAAGTTCAGAAACTCTTGAACGGAAAACAAGAAAATTAAAAAAATCGAAAGGAGACTTCAATCTCAACAATAATGTAAAGATTTGAAGAAATCAATTAAGACATACTGCAGTTAGTGCTCTATATGTGAATATGTGAACAGTTGCCTTAATTTAAACGATCAAAGTCCAGTAACTCTAAAACGACAAAGCAAACGGACATTGGTATAGGGGTAAATTCAGTAAAAAATCTCCCATTGACTGTAATGCTAATCTATGTCTTGAATTAAATTTATACCTGATTTACCTTTAGAAATTAGAAAATTTCATATATCATTCATGAAAGTACAAATGTAGCCCTATCATTTGCAACAATAAAAACATAGGGTCATGCGGCATTTTTGGGCATTCACATGGCCTTGTTTACAAACACTGTAGATTCGCACTTAATTCCTTCACTGACCCCCATTACTCTTCAACCCTGTAGTAAAAAAATTTAGTACATTCAGCATTTATTTTTTATTTTTTTTCAACTCTAGTTTTTATCCATCTATCAAAAAATATTTATTACAAACATTATCTACCAATCAGAAGAGCACATGACTTCAGTTTTATACAGAAAGCTCTCCCCCAAATGGGCGGTCCCTGATGACGTATATTTATTTACTGAATTTACCCCTATAAGGGACTTTTTAGTAGCTTTTCCCT